AACAACAATCTTTCATAAAAGCACCAGGTGTAATTGAACCATGGATTTTTGTTATGTGTGAACCAGATCTTTGTGGTGTTGATGTTTCAGCTATGTTTATATCCTGAGGTGATGGGAAGAATTGGTAATTGGTATAAAATATTTTCCTTTACCATTTCAGAAGTTATTCATGAAACACTTGCATATTTAAGTGATTTTATTGCAAGAAATTATACAAATAACCATTTGTCTCTGCTTGATTAATTTGTAAATGTTTCAAGAATAACTTGTTTATTTAAGCTGCCTTATACCAGGGCTGTCAGAGTGAGGTACATAGGTATAAAGTAAAAATCAAGAAAACCTAAAGGTAGCAGCACAATATATAATAGCAGAGACTAAAGTATCATAAGTAGGAGGTACCACAAGGTCTAAAATATCCATGGAGATTAAAAAACAAAGTTCTAGAATGTTACTACTGGGAAGTAAAAATTTTTAGCAGGTTAAAACGTATGTCAAGTTAAAAGATTTGAGCAAATAAGGATGGTACTAAAAGGTCAACAGAAAAGTTGTTAGGCAGCCTTTTTAGGGAGGTGATTGCATAGTTGGGGGCTACTACTGCAAAGGCCTGTTTTCAGCAGCACACCCGCGAATTTTAGTATGTGGGAGCGCTCAGAACAGGGCCTCTGTTTATCTCAGGGTATGAGTAGGCACGTCATGGAATAGGTGGTCCTTCAGATAGGACAATGAGGGTGATGAAGGCATTGTACTTTTCTGCTATCATTGCATCTGCTATAGGCGCCCAGCAAAACTTGTTGGGGTAGTCATTACAACTGACCCACGGAAAGAAGAAATAGACTTCTTGACAGCTGGCTATGCCCAATTTTGGAAATATAATTGATTGTATCCATGCCAACTTAGATTCCATTGATACAGGTCTGGTAGATATAGCTGATTACAATGGATACTTTTCAATTAGTACAGTCAGAGGATAAGGGGGGGATCCTTGGAGAAGGGAGGCTTACCACTTCTGTGCCAGGCTTTTCCCTTCCAGATGAGTAGTGGTGAATGTCTCTTTATGGGAGGTATGATTCTGCTTTGCCTACAGGAGGTGGTGGTAAAACCTTTGCTAAAAGAAAGTCTTCCTGAGCCCCACTGTTTTGGATAATTTTCATCTGGTTTCAAGTATTCCATTCTTGGGCGAGATGTGTGTGGGCTATCTAGCTCTATTTCAGTCTGCTTCAGGCTTGATTATGGGACAGAAGTTGCTTTTACTATTTTATTTCTATACTGCCCAGTAGCTGAGGCTCTTTGGGAAGTCTACAACAATTAATAAAATACATATAACATACAAATAATAAAACATCAGTTGTATTATTACAAAAGTTTTAATACAAAAATTAAAAAACCCAAATGTAAACAACTTAAATAGCCAAGACATGTTAACAAATCTAACCTGTTAAAAGAGATGATATAAACCCCCTCCTTCCCAACATGCTGTTTAGAGCTGTTAAATGTCTCAGCATAGAGGCCAGTCTTAACCTGGTGCTGAAATGATAGCATACTTGGTACTAGGCAAGCCATGGTGGGGAAATGGTTCTAGAATTGTGGGACTGCCACAGGGAAGATCCTCTCCCTTCTTGTCATCAGATGAGCCTCCCTTGGAGGTGCCACTTAGAGGATGGCCTCTGATGTTGAATGTAGTATGAAGAAGGATTGTGGTTAGGAGAAGAATTTGGTGAACTATTGCTGTCCCAAACTGTGTAGGACTTTAAAGGTCAAGTTTAGATCCTGAATCAGGCTCAGAAGCGTATAAGTAACCACTCCAAATGGGCCAGAATTGGTGGTATGTATTCATACTCTCCAGTCTCAATTGTTACTTTAACTACTGTGTTTTGCAAAGGTGGCAAATTCTGAATCACATTCCAGGGCAGCCTGATGTGCCGTGCACTAGCCTAGTGTAAAGCTTACCAGAGCATAAATTACTGAAACTAGACTCTTTCTGTCCAGTTAGGAAAATAGGAGTCACTAACCAAAACTTGAAGATGCTCCCTGCCACTGAGACCACTTGAGCCTCAGGTGACAAGGATGACTCAGGCTTTGAACCTACTTCTTCAGGCAGAATGCAACCCTATCCAAAACAGGAAGAGCTTCCTCCATCTGGTCAGAGGGCCTGTTCACTAACAGCATCTCAGTCTTGGCTGGATTGAACTTTAA